AAGAAGAAACGACATACATAAAACTAAAAAGGCCCTCTCCAAGAAATGAATTCCAGTGACCGAGCACTCTGTAAAAGGATTCCTATGCACCTCGAAGAGCCGGAGACCCTCGGTAAAGGACCCCTGTCCCGGAACCCCGCTCGCTACACCACCTCAGGAACCTCAGTACCCTGATAACTCTCCCACGATCCCGAAGACCCAGCACCCTACTCTCTACGCGACTACCACCGCCGCCACCACCCCCCAAGCCCGAAGAGCCCTAGGACCCCAATAACCGCCCCCTCACCCCGAGGAGCGCTGGCCACACCGCCCCTGGGCGCCCGCACCCGATCCTGCCACACCGCCTCCTGCACTCCCGAACCCCGCCAAGCTTTGCGCCCATCAGGCAGCGCCGCGCTGCCCCGGGAGCCGCCCCCGGAGCCGCCCCCGTCGGGAGCCCGACTGCCCCGGCGGCTCCGAATCCGCGCTCCTCGAACGCTCCTCGGCGGAGACGCGCTCCGGGCTTCCTTACCTGGGCAGCGTCGGAGGGCGAGCGGACCGGGGAGCCCTGAGGAAGAGGAGGAGGCGGCAGAGAAGGGGCGGCCCAGGCCTGCGGCTGCCGCAGCTCCAACCTCTCCGCGAGGAAGCGCTTGTGTGAGAAGAGCCCTCCCGCTCCGCGCGCAGCCAGGAGCCCGAGCCACAGCCGTGCCCGCCGCTCTTCCCGCGAGATCCCAGCCACGGCGAGGGGCGGGAGCGGCGGCTCGAGTGACAGCGCCCAGAGCCTGTCGGCGGCGGCGTGGGAGGCGGGACTCAGAGCCTGTTACTACCAATTGTAGACTTGGAAAGGTGCTTTGCCCCGCCCACCGCTGCTGCTCCTCCTCCGCCCCTCCTCAATAAACTAGGAGCAAAGGCAGCAGTGACCTTAAGTAGACCGAGGCGGTGGGCGTTCGCGGGGTAGAAACCTGGACCGCGAATTTGGCTTGTGTCTGCACCAGCACAGCCTTCGTGGCTACCCCTGGTTCCGGGGAGAAGCCGGTCTTCACACCTGTGCAGGCAGAGGCGCTGTTACCCTTGGTTACAGCGCTGCCGGAATGAAGTTCGCTTCTTCCTAGTTGAAGACGCACCCTCGTTGGTTACCTGGTTCTAATCTACCTTTCCCCCATCTCGGCTTCTCCTCCCTCTCCACCTCAAACATGGTGCCATCGTTGAGATGCCCGTGTTTTCCAAAATCCAACTCAGGACATCGGGTCTGACAAAGGACTCTTCTGATTCGTGCATTTATTTCTACTTAACGCCTTCTAGGAAAGTAAAAAGTAAATCTTACTTGACTCACCAATATATCAAATTACAAGAAAAGTCGTATCTTTCTAGACCCCAGTGCCTGGCACACGCAGGACACTGAATAAATATGAAGGGAATGAATGAAGAATGTGATATTTAAATATATGAAATCTGGATCCGCCCCTGAAAATCCCGGCTCTCTTAACCTTTCCTCTACAATGACAGCCACTCCCTAAATCCAATCTCTTCATTGTTATGCCTGTCCTGTAGCCTTCATTCATTGTTTCCTCCTCACTGCCTTACCTAGAGCAGCGAGAAGTGTCCTTTCTCCTCATTCAGGTTAACCCCAGCACCTGTGCACTGGAGCTCAGCCATTCCCAGATTTTGTTTAATCTTTTCTTATCAGTTTCCCCTCTCTAATCAAGCTCTTTTCTGCCACAAAAATTCTCCATCTTTTGAACAGAATAGAACCACCTACCTTTTCCACCCTCTCAAGCTACTCTATCTCCTTTCTTCTTTCTTTTCAGAATCATACTTCTTGAGAAACATCAAAGTATATTTGCTATCTCTACTTTCTCATCTGTTTTTCCCCATGACAATGTTGCTTTTGCCCACACAATCTGCTGTTCTCTCAATGGCCACAAAAGACCTCTTTCCTAATGGGCAAATGGTCTATTTGGAGGAATCTTTCCCAATGACCTCTCTGCAGCCTTTGGTATCTGATTCTCCTGATTCTCTAGCTACTCTTCTGACTTTTTTTTTTTTTAATCTTCTTTCCTGGTTTGAAAACTGTTGTGTATTGATGTCTCCTTATCGTATAGCCATATGTTGCTTGTAATAAGAAATATGACTACATGTGGTTGCACACTTTGAGTGCCAGTAAGTGGCTCAGACAAAAGCTGTTAGGGGAGTGCAGAGGGAGGAGGCACAACTATGAGCCTGGGTCTTAAAACAGTACCTTGGCCTATCCAAATGCTGGGCAAAAATGGAGGCCTTTCAGAGAAAAACAGTGTGAACCTGAGCACAGAGAAAACCATGTGGGCGGAGCCTGCCTATGAGTAGATCAGTTTGCTGGTTGGAAAATCCCTGCAGAAGAGCAGTGGAGGTAAGATGAGAGAGGAGCCAATAGTAAAAAGCCTTAGAAACAACAACGAGGCAAGCTGATTCAATTTGCTTCTGTATTAAATGGGGAACCAGAACCAACCTAACATTTGTAGGACCCACAAAACAGCTACATGTCTCACATATCAAATGTCAAAATAAGTAAAACATATAAAACAAGCCAACAACATGTGAAATTAAAAAAATTGGAAGACCATGTTTGCACTTAGAATTCTGGGACCTCTCAGAGTTCCCTGCTGGAACAGGGAGAGCTGGTCCCCACAAAGAGCAGTCTTCCCCGACCTCCCCCACAGCCAGTTCAGCCCCACACTGCAAGGTACTCCCCACTCCCTGGACACTCCAGCCCACATGTCCAAACTCTGTCCTCACCTTTCCCTCTATAAAATAGACATTATTTGGCCATTCCACGGGTCCAGGAGTAATATTTCAGGACCTAGGGCAGAAGTCCATATGAGCTCTGGATGCAGGCTCAGGGCCGTTTGGGCAGGGAATTCTGGCTTCTGGGTACGTAAAACAAGGTCTGAAGGAGTCAAGTCAACTCCAGGCAAGCACATTCCTCCCCTCCCCCCGCCACCCCCACCCCCATTGATAGTCTCCTGTTCAGTAGGTGGTAGTGCAGCTGGAGAAGGGCCAGAGCAGAGCCCTTAAAGGCAGGCCTCTCCCACCTGTGTCCACAGGTGGCAGCAGGAGAACCACTGAATTTCTTTGATGTGGTAATGGCATGTATAGTTGATCTGTATCTTGAAGTATAAATCTCTGTTTTCTATGTTTTCCACCTCCTCTGCTGTTGCACTGGTGTCTTAATATCAGGAATGTACTGGAGAGAAAACTATTCTTCACTCTACTTTGTCTTTTTTGTAAAAAATATATCTTATTGATTTTTTACAGAGAGGAAGGGAGAGGGATAGAGAGTTAGAAACATCGATCAGCTGCCTCCTGCACACCTCCCACTGGGGATGTGCCCGCAACCAAGGTACATGCCCTTGACCGGAATTGAACCTGGGACCCTTCAGTCCACAGGCTGATGCTCTATCCACTGAGCCAAACCGGTTAGGGGTCTACTTTGTCTTTATATGGTATCTTCTTTTGCCTGGTTTCATGAATTACACCATTCTATGATTCCCTTATTAGTGTATCAGAAATCTGGGTGTCTCTAAATGTGAGAAAAAAGAAAAGCTATGAAGTACTCTTCGCCTGGACTAACGCTTGGAATGCTTACATTTGACTTCTAAGCCAAAATGCTTTGGAAGTAGAAGCTCTTGAAGAGGCCCGATGTGAAGGGTACACAAGTAGGATGAGTACTGAAAAGACAGTGAGCCACCACAGACGGGGGCACCCTCTCACCATCTGTCTTTATGGCATGATGCTTCCCTCTGTGGCCTGACAGTCACGCTCTGTTCTCAAAACCTCTCCATCTGGTACCAAGCGCTCCTTTCCTCGCATCCTACGATAAGAGCCAGAACCACCATGGTTTCTGTTTTCTTAGTCCAAGCCTAGAATCCCGCCTGCAGATTCTGCACTTCTCTCAGTGGTGCTGCGGAGAATTTCAGCAGGAGGCTTTGGCACTTGCATGATCCCAAGAGTTGATTCCACTCATAGCCTCACTCTCACCATCTGTGTCTGGTCTTTGCCAGCCAACAATGGAACAGAACCAGCTAACTCCTCACCAGGTCTTACCATCTGCTGGCTGTATCTGACTTATTAGTCCCGGCAAAAACAACCAAATGCCAACCCATCTATCCCTGCTCAGCAACCATCCTTACTGCTCTCCCATTCTGCACACATGCCCTGGGAAGGGCTACCTCCTGGCCACTGCATATTCACAAGGGACACAAAAAACAGTATTATTGGAAAAGCTGAAAGAAGAAATCTGTCTCTCTCAGATCCAACCTCTACTCCATCCTTTAAAAAAAATATTTTTTGCTGACTTCAGAGAGAGGGAGTGAGACATAGAAACATCAATGATGAGAATCATCGATGGGCTGCCTCCTGCACTCCCCCTACTGGGGATCGAACCTGAAAGCCGGGCATGTACCCTGACTGGGAATTGAACCGTGACCTCCTGGTTCATGGGTTGACACTCAACCACTGAGCCACACTGGCTGGGCTCTATCCCATCCTTTTAGAGTCTTGGTGGAGCACCTCTTTGGTTAGGTTAGAAGGCTGAAATTCTGTATGACTTACCTCAAGATTGAGGGAACAGTATTTACCTGTCCATTTGCTGACCACAAACCTCTGACTTTGTTTTTTTGCAAATATCTTGTAACAAAGGTGAGAAATCAAGAGGGTTGTAGTGGTTTAAAGTGTGTCCACAAATTCTTTCTATACTTCCCTTCATTCAATAGGTAGAGCTTAATTTTCCTCTCCCTGAGTATGGCCTATACTAGGGACTCCTTTTTAATAAAGAGAATACGCCAAAAGTGACAGTGTATGATTCCAGAGACTTGCTTTATAAGAGGCATAACAGCTTCTTCCTTGGTCTCTCTTTGATCACTCACTCTGGACTGGAGGAAGCCAGCTGCTGTCTTAGGAACATTCAAGCAGAGGCCCACATGGCAAGGAATTTGGGCCTCCAGCCAATTGCTGTGTGAGTGAACCATCTTGGAAACCCCAGTTCAGCTCCAATTAAGCCTTCAGGTACCTGCAGCTCCAGACCAACACTTTGATATAACATCATGAGACGCCCTTAGCAAAAACTACCCACCTAAACCTCTCCCTTATTCCTCCCAGAAACTGTGTGAGATAATACATGTCTATTGTTTTAAGCCACTTCGTTTTGAAATCATTTGTTATGCAGCCATAGCTAGCTATTACAAGAGCCTTGAGAGTAGTTCAGTCCACTGCTACTCCTGGAAAAAAATCTAAAAACTTACATCCTACTAATCATCAGGCACTAGCATGACCTAAAGAGCAAAGAACAATGAATGTGTTGCTATAACTTGCTACATCTAAACGCCAAGTGGGGCTACACCAAAAGAAAGTAGAAAAAAACATTTCTTGGTGGGAACAAAGATGCCAGTGCTCTACGGACTATTAAGAGCATAGCTTTCGGAGATAACAACAACGGGGGAGCCATTTGGAGGCAGTTAATAGTAAGCCTTGAGCAGTACAGAAACTTTTCACCCTCAGAAGCGTAGAGTGCTTTACAAACATATTACTGTCATCCAATCTTATGGGCAAGCATATGTTTCCATGAAAACAGAGAGGAAAAAACCCTCAAATATCCTCTTATTCATCCATATTAACTAAGAATAAAAGGTTGAAAATTCCATCTATGGGGGCCCTGTCAAAATTAAATTGACATCCTGAC